CCCCCCCCCCCCCCCCCCCCGCCCGCCCGCCCCCCGTCTTCTTTCCTAACAGCTTGGTACGCACGAAGGAAAATGGGATCGAAAAAGTTTTGTAAACACGGGTTTTCGACAAGTAAGACACAGTCAAGAAATGTAAATTTTTGTATGCTGTCTCGCCCTTCGGGGTCCTTCGGGGGGGAAGTGGGGATGTTCCTGTGCACATTTTTCGCCAAAATATTGCATAAAATGAAGAAAACATATCAAACGGCGGCAAAACTCCCGAGTGCAGTATTGGCAGGATAGGCACAAGTCCGTCTTGCCCTTCATTTATTTTTTTTCCAAGCAACGAGTGTGTACCTCCCGCGCGTGATTCGCACGAACTGCATCGATGTCACAGGCGCTCGGAGGCGCCGCTGCCCCCCCCAATTGGGCAGCATTCGCGGGGCCCCCATGACCAGCCCTGCCTCCAGGATAGAATGCAGGCCCTCCCCTTGGCAGAGGTGTGTGTATGTTTAGGGGGGGAGCGGTAGCCAGTGTTTAACGGGCCATGACTTTGGCCTTTCATGGAGTGGAGTCGAGATACACCCGTGTTTGAAGTGTTTTGCCTTTGCCGCCTACGAGGAGGAGGCGTTAGTCTTGTTGGTTGCTTCTGCGTTTCATCTTTTGTGGACCAAGGGCGAGGACAGAGACGTGCATACCTGAGTGAGTTGGCCAGGGGGGCGGGGGGGCGGGTGTGGTGTTTCCCTTCAACCAAAAGTGGAGAGTCTTTCCAAGGTGCCGTTTCATTTAGGGGTAATGGACGTGGGGCCGGAGCATTGAAGGCACACATTTTGCTGCTGATAGGAGGGGGTACTTTTGATTGTGTGCAGGTTTGATCTTTCCCCCCACCATAGCCCAATTTAAGTGTGCTCCGTTTAGACCCCGCACGATCGCAGGACACAGGAAGTATTCACGGAGATGGTGATGCAGGAAGCAAATTAGGCGAGAAACGGGGGGGGGGGGGATATCTTGTTGCGTGGACCCCTCCTGTCTGAGAACGATTGTTCGTTGGCGTTCCTGTGGGAGGAAGGGCTCCGGTCTTCTCGGCTGCAGCTCGACCTGCAGAGAGTGGTGGGAACGTCGCAATGAAGGATGGTTCAAAGGGTCGCCGTTCCATTTTTGTCGTCGCTTCTGCTGATGATGCTTGTTAAGAGTGTTGCTTGTTTCGGTCCAAGTTTTGGCCTCCCGGAGGGGATCAACCACCGTTTTCGTTGTAACAGTTGTTCTAAATGGCTCTTCTCAATCTCTTCTTCTCCTGCGACTACATCGATAAAAATATCTCACAAGCTGAGTTATCTACCATGTTTTCGACGTAATCTTCAAAGCACTATCCCCCAAAATCTACGAAGCAACTACCATATCTCCCAATCTCCATTCGTTGGCCTCTCAACGTTTTTGAGGGAAAAGAGTGCTCTGCGCTTATTTTGCGTTTAAACTCGAAGGCAAAGCGCCGCAGGAGGGGTGGGTATGGGGCCTTAGGGGGGAAAGAACGCTTCCGTGTGGCCACGGATTGGAGCTCCTACACGGCAGAAGTTCAAAAGTGCAGTAGTGGTCTCGAAAAGAAACGTACATTTCTTTGAGCGGGGTCCGTCAATCGTGTCTGTGGGCGGGAACAAGGGGTGAGCGGTGAGCACGGTTTTTGTGTTTTCCACATTGTGCAGTGGTATGTCTCTTGAAAGGAGTCTTCGTTGACTTTGGTTGAGTCCTTGTTCATGGCGGACGTTAGAGAGCAGCTCGCATCACACCCGACCCGCGAAAGAGAACGTCCATCCTTCACTTACTTGCCAAGGAAGCCGCTGTGGCAAACCACAGGATTAGAGCTTGAGTTGAAGCCGGGGCTACCCGGTTATTTCTGTAGACGGGGCACAGTTAATTCAATTCATTGTCTACGGGCTTGCGTACCCTACTGTTCTTGCTAATAGTGTGTGTGTTCTTTAGATCTTCTGATGGCTCTAGCATTTCTGTGACCACGGACTCCAGCTTTTGCTAGTTTTTGGGATTAGCAACTGACACGAGTGAATGGGTCTCGTTCGTGTCGTCACAGGCCATATATGTACGTAGTACAGTATCCATTAGGCCTAAACCTGACAGGTTCGGGTGCTCCAAGAAGCTCGCGTGGACAAATCAAATCCCATTTGTCATCTTGCGTACAACTAACTGTAACAGCGCGCGACAGAACCTGCATCTTTTTAAAGCTGAAACCTGTGAGGGCTGTGTAACAATGACGCCCGACGCGTGCGTAGCTCGAAGAACTTCATGGTTTCAACGCATTTCAACGCATGGACGTCTCCTACTTGGTGTTGCAGGTTATGTGTGATATGATGTTGGGTGTTTGCCAAGTAGTCTATAGGAGTATGATGTAGCGCTCCTGTTCACACGTGCGTGCGTACGGGACGTTAGTGTCACTCACAGCTACCTACTACTTGGCCCCCCTTTCAAGCCGTTTAACCGATAGGACGGATAGGCTAGGTGTGGGTGACACTATCGTAAGCTGCTGCGCAACGTATTGCGAAAGTTGCACTCCGAAACGCATATCTTTTGATTTGCTCCTTTTAATAATGTGCCACCGTAATAGAGGTTGGTGAACGCCGGTAGGGTCCAAGAAGCAAACGAGGCATTAGGGACCAAGAAGAGAATCAAAAATGATTTTGGCAAGACAATCGAGGTTTATCGTCGTCGTCGTCGTCACGTCACGACATGCCCAGGAGGTATACCCTAGGAAAGTACTCTGCGATGAGACGGCGGAAAACCCGTCCAGGTCCTAGTAAAGAACTCTGCTATGACATGCGACATTGGGAATCTTCTACAAGTACACGTGATTCGTTTATTGTATGGAACCAGCCCCTTCCCGTAATCAGCCGAAAAGATCGACTTAAATAATACCGAGATTTGCTGGAGACAAAGGGGATGGCTGCGTGAAGGTACAGCAGGCACCCGAAAAAAAAAAAAATGACACTGCTTGCCCCGCTACAATTTCACGAAACCGCCTGCAAGAAAAACCTCGAGTCTTACCCCCTGGCGATAAACGTGAGAACTTGCCTCGTCCAAAACCTTGTTATTGGTTTCAGCCAAAATAAGAGGGGATAGCACTACGCCACGCCGGCCGCCTACAGCCTAGCCGCCGCCCACGTTCCTTCAGCTCAACAACGACAGGTAAGAGGACAAGGCGTGTGCGTGTGACACTGCAGCCGCGTTGGGGGGTAGGAAAAAAACATCTGCGCAGCNGGGGGGGGGGGGGGGGGGGGGGGGGGGGGGGGGGGGGGGGGGGGGGGGGGGGGGGGGGGGGGGGGGGGGGGGGGGGGGGGGGGGGGGGGGGGGGGACGGCACCTGGCTTACACGAACATGATTGGGTGATTCATCTCCGACTTCGACAAGAAAACAAACATGCACGCCCTCCACAAAAACTACAAACACGTCCACCTGTTTTGTTTATGGTGAGCGTGTGATGCAAATGGTACCATGAATACGTCCGCGCACATAAAAGATAAAGAACGACCAAAACCACAAACCAATCCGCCAAAAGCTCCAACCACAAAACATCCCGGGTAACACCGCGGATTCGAGGTTCCGGTGGTGCACGTGTAAGTGTAGCTAGCAGTCAGCCAGAGATCCCCGCTGCTCCCCTGACGGGCGCCACATCTAAATGCGCGGCTTGAGCAGCAAGCGATTCGTGCATTTTTTGAATATCACGTCAAAATATCGTTCGAGTGTGGGTCATGTTAACAATAACGCGAACACAGCGGGTATAATACGTACGTCCGTACTTCCATCATCAACCACGACGATGACGTTTGCCCCCCCCCC